CAACACAGGGCCAGCCAGTGATGTGGTGGTTGAAGTGGCTTGAAAAACGTGCCAGGTTTGTGTGTGTGCATGCATGACAAAAATTCCAAAAGGAGAAAGGAAAGAGAAGGAATTGCAGTGTAAACATACCCCATGTGAGGCAGGGGGGGTTCTCACTCTCTCTCTTCCCTTGTTCTATGGCATACATGTTCTATGGCAAAATTAAAACAAAAAAGCAGCACTATACAGAAAGTATTTCTAAGAGAAATCAAGTAAGTTCTAAATAAATGTAGATATATTCAGTGTTCATAGGTTGGAAAACTCAATTCATTAGGATATAAATTCCCCCAGAATTGACATATATTTTCAGTGTACTTTCAATAAAAATTCCAGAGTATATATTTTACAAATTGACATCTCTCCCTCCTTTTGGGATTTTGGGCATGCATGCACATGTGTTCAGCTTGTTTTTCAAGCTACTGAGGCTGAGACTTGACTGCTTAGACAGCCATGGAGATCCAGGCACCTTAACCATGCCATATCTGGACCCAATTAATTTTTATTTATTTATTTATTTATTTATTTTTTATCATCATATCTTCTTCATATTACATTGGATTACATATAACTTTACTGTGTATTACATTGTTTCTTCAAAAGGGAATGCCATGCACGTCAGTCAGTACAGAGACATTAATCTCCCCACTTCAACATTCCATATCTTTTCTGTTTTCCCCAATCATTATCTTTATTATTCTAATTATTTTTATAAAACAGTCAATTGCTATTTCTCGTTTTGCTTGTAAAAATACTTTGCCCGTCATGAAACACTTCTCAGACCAATCCAGTTGAGAATTCTATACATGTCATCATCAACAGTTAATAAACCCTATCTGTTTCTCACTGACGTCCTGTCTCTCTATTGCTCACTTGCTATCTTTCTCTATCCTCTTCTCTTCACTTACCCCATTCCACACTGTCCTATTCTCATTAAGTACCTTCACTTCAAGAATGGTAGAGTAGTTCCTGTTCTTCCCTGAGGCAATGCAGGGCTGGTAACCATCATCTTCTCAAGTTGCAAGTTCTCAGACCTTGTTTTCCGCTTCAGCTTGCTGGTCCAAAGGCCACACGCCGGCCCTGGAGAGGCAGCTGAAC